AATTGGCAGCAAATGCCGCGGATATGGCGAGAGTTAAAGTGAATTACGAGACTTTTAAGGGATGGCAGACATGTATAGCCAAAGTCCGCAAATTTGGTGATTTGCCGAAGAATGCTCAGGACTATGTGCGGGCTGTCGAACGCTTAGTGAATGTGCCGGGTAATTATCACATTAAACTTCATGCTATATGTATGTAATAAACTAATGATTATCTCGTATTAATTGCAGTCAAATGGGTTGGTGTGGGCCCTAAACGCGAGGCTATTATTACGCTGTTTTGATCTTGAATTTGATTTTTATTGTTTTGAAATTTTGAAACAAATTTATTTTTAACTTAAACGACATATTTGTGACACTTATTGTAGAGAGTATTATATAATTGTGTTGGAATTGATTACACGAATGGAATCTTATATTTTGTATCGCTATTACATATTGTATAACATATATATAAACGGGTTTTAGTTTTGCCATTTAATTATACACAGTATAATAGCATCAAAATTTATATTATTTAATATACAGTACATGAGTTTACTATTACTACTGTCTATCGATTGTTATTTAGAGCTAAAAATTGAGTTTTTGTTTTATTTTTCAGATACTTTAAACCGAAATCTCATTTTTCCTATCAATTTATTCTTAAGACTATTATAAAGTGCCTTAACTTTAGCCCCGAATGTGAGGCAATAAAGTTATATAAAACTCGTCTCTTGTTTCCTATCAATGAATTGGATATTTTTGTTGACATTTTGCCACTTTTTTGCCGCACTTTTTAATCACAATTATACTTATAATTAATGCAAACTTTTTGACTTTTAAAAGCATAATATTTGCAACAAATGGTTTGAAAAACAATTTTCACTAATTATTATTAAATAATATCTGTATTACTGATTGCTTAATGTTTTATTGTCATTAAAATAAAGTTTTTTGTTCAAAGTTATGTCGAGGTATGAACTTCATACTAGTTCATGAAGTTCAGTACTACAGCTTCTCAGACTGAGACCATGTATTGGCCGTTGTCTGAGAACTCAATGGCGTTGACACATCCGTAGTGAGAGTACAGATCTTTGTGGTACAGGTCTTCTTCCTTTTTAGTTTTGACGAAAACATAGTGTATATAAAGGCTTTTGATTACATTTTGTCCGCAAAAGCTTGACAATATTGGTTACTGACGGCACCGGCAGTGAACCCAATGGCTTGTGTGGCGTTCACAGACGCCCCGTCCTCTGCCTCGTCCGATGGGTAACACATAACACATATTCTGTTGCCTTTCCACTCATATTCCGTTCCCTTTATCCCATGTTTTCGTTTCAAACATATTTTTGCACACTTTGTTTGTTTGCATTATTCGTGTCACTCATAAACACATGGAATATGTGGTGGAAGTGCTTCGGGGAAGACAACAGTCGCCCAAAAGATAATCGAGGCGTTGGACGTGCCGTGGGTTACACTCCTCAGTCTCGACAGCTTTTATAAAGTGAGCCATCGATTGAATTCTTGACTTAAATCATGACTAATGTCTGCCATTTGAATGTCAGGTATTAAACGAAGATCAGCACCGGTTGGCCCATAATAATGAGTACAACTTCGATCACCCCGAGTCCTTTGACTTCGATCTACTCGTTGAGACCTTACGTAAGCTGAAGGAAGGCAAACGAGTGGAGGTTCCCATCTATAACTTTGTCACACATTCTTAATAACTCAATACCGGTGCTTAAATATATTGCATTACATATTGTATAACACATATAAACGGGGTTTTAGTTGATTACATATAATTATTGCCAATATTGACTGTTAGTTAATATAATTAAATAATGAGTTTAGTATGACTACTGTCTATCGATTGTTGTTTAGACAGTTATGTTGAAAGTTATGATAACTTGTGGAAAGTTTTGTCACAATTCTTGTAATTTATGTTTCAATACAAATATCACGTGACTATAAGTTGTATTCATTTTTGGCATTTGTTTTGACGATACCTGAAGACATGATCACATCGAAGACTACACTCGCCATCAGTGGTGACAACTGTTCCCAATCGAGTCATACCACGAGATGTCAAATATATAGGAAGGACTCTTTGGACAGATTTGGTGATGATTTGTGTCAACAATTATTGTCTTATCTATCACTCGAAGATCGGTTCCGATGTGAATGTGTGTCCAAACAGTGGCAACGAGTCATATATGAGACACAAAAAGAGCTCACATTTGACAGGAAATTAATACTCAAATGCAGACAATTTAAGATTCAATGCAACGGTTTGACAGCATTTGAGACAATACTCATAAAGTGTATGAATATTACAGCAATTGTTTGCTTTGAACGCATCACTAATGATATGTTGAATGCAATCATTAAATATTGTCATCATTTGAATGCATTTAATGTTAGATATGATGGAAATATTAATGTCGATATTATTTGTAAATTTTTCGCAAAGTTTGCCAAACAATTGAAAACATTTACATGCAATGACTCGACCTTTAATACCCCGACTGTTTGGAAGTGTATTGAAAGTAATGTGAAGTTATGGACAAAATTAACACAACTCGATATCCGTAACTATGAAATGAGTAAATTCTCGCATTTGTTCAATAGTTATGAAAATGAGATTTTGTTCACAAAACTACGAAAAATATGTTTCGATTACACCTATGAAGACATGAATTGTTTTGAATTATTTGTCGAAAGATATGCCAATACTGTGAATGCAATGGATGTGAAGATATATACGAGGAATAATGAGTCGATTGCTATACTAATGAATGGATTGTCACGAATGCATGCATTGATTGATCTGAGGATTGATTGCATTCATGTCATGAAAAGTAGTGACACTGAATGCTGTCTATTATTCTTCGACCATTTGAGACAAATTGGTGTGAATTGTGGACAACTGAAGAGTCTGGCACTCATACTGTCCGATGGCGGCTATTTTTCCAAATTTATCCAGACACTATTAATCCAAACACTGAATGATTGCTTTAAACGAATAAGACGTTTGGAAGTGAGTCAAGCATATGAGGATACTTTGAGAATAACCAATGAATCACTGAATGAATTGAAACGATTAAAACGGTTGACAATCAAACCATATGTAGTGGACATAAATGAGACGTTTTACGAGAATTGCACACAAAATGAAAGACCAACTCTTGTTGGATTTGTTTTTGGATTAGTATTTATAGTATCTATATATATTGGATTCTGCTTGTGCATTTATATTAGTATTTGCATACTTTTTCATTTCAATTCAATTCATGGTTTGGGTCCAAAGAGTGATGTGTATAAAGGAATTCCATAGTGTCCTTTCTGCCAATACAAATACTGTACTATTATCAACTTATGTCACCTAGTATGCATGCCTATTTCTCATTAATACATTACCTGTAAGTCAACGTCAAGTACAGTACAGTATTTGTATTGGCAGAAAGGACACTATGGAATTCCTTTATACATGTATTATTCACCTGGAATAGTGATCCTCTATAACATATACATAACAATTAAAACTATAAAAACATAAAATTATTTTCAAAAAGTAATTAAATTTCTATTAAAAGTTTTAAAATCTTTGGACTCTCAGAGGGAAATCGGTCACGAATTGCACATTTGGATCCCTTTATAAAAGATTTTGTATTTTCAGTATAATTATGTTTGGGTTGCGATCACTTTAGTCGTAGTCGTTCATTTCACCTACAATACCTATAATGTTCAAATCTTACCCAATCTACAGTATAACGGTCCCGGCCATCATATCATTGCATATTCTCTCACTCACTCATTATCATAGTATTAATTATAATCAAATAACATTTGTATTATGTATTACTTTTTAATTAATCTATTAATGAATAAAAAAGTTGTTTAGAAGTTATGATAACTTTTGTCACAATTCCTGTAATTCATATTTCGCTGGTTTTTGTCAATACAAGTCACGTGACTATGAGTTCAACACATGTTTTGGCGTTTGTTTTGAAGTGAAGACAACTGAAGACGAGTGAAGACAACAACTGAAGACACGATGACATCGAAAGAGATGTGCAGATATGGGAACCAATGCTATCGCAAGAATCCCATTCACTTCCAAGAGTTCGACCATCCGTTTGATCCCAAGACACGACTCAC